ATCATTAAAATAATAAGCTAAAGTAAGAACATAATACTTACATTTAAAGTAAAAGCTAAATCTATCTTTTTCTTAAATTTCTCTTCTACCTAACATGAAACATCATAAAAAGTTCCTTTCGCTTCATTTCTTCTTTCATAAAACCAACGTTGTAGCTTCACTTAGATGAAATCCATCATTCTCAATATAGGCAACTCCCTTGCTTCTAATAGCACATAATTCATTGACTCAACTATATTTGTTGTGAGCATATCATATCTTCGTCGTGGACAACAAGAACGCGCTCACCTTTCCGGTGGTTCTTCCATCAAGTAGTCAAAAGTCTTCTTATCAACTTTTGCTATCTCTGACATGTATAGATCAAATTCTTTGCGCCTGTATACTCTTGCAGCACTTTGAAAAAGTTTTATGACCTCACTTTTAACTTTCCTTTGCTTTAGATTCTGCTCCAAATGATAGATACAAATCCCATGGTGGCTTTCACGATATAACTTTGCGATGCCATGTGCAATAGATTGATGCCTATATGATAAAAAAATTAAAATGTCACGGCTCCCAATTGCATAAGCTCACTAAAGTACCACTCATATGAGTTGTTATTTTCAGATTCTGCAATCCCAAATGCTAGTGGGAATATTTGGTTATTTGCATCCTTTGAAACTGAAATTATTAAAACACTAAGATATTTTGATGTCTAAAAAAGTTGCATCAACAACAATCATCGGTCTATAATGATTCCAACTAGCTATTGATGATCCATATACATAAAACATATAAAGAAACCTGAAAATATAGTTTAACAACAAAAGGTAAAAATACAGGATACTATGTCCTTAATATTTACACTGCACACATCAAAGTTAAGGACACCATGTCCTTAACATTTACAATATACACATCAAAGTTAAGGACATCATGTCCTTAATATTTACACTGCACACATCAAAGTTAAGTTAAGGACACCATATCCTTAATATTTACATCACACAACAAAGTTAAGGACACCATGTCCAAAATATTTACAGTGCAAACATCAAAGTTAAGGACACCATGTCCTTAACATTTACACATGCACACATCAAAGTTAAGGATACTATGTCCTTAATATTTACAACGCACACTTTAAAGTTAAGGATATTATTTCCTTAACATTTACACTGCACACATCAAAGTTAAGTTAAGGACACCATGTCCTTAATATTTATATTGCACACATCAAAGTTAAGGATACCATGCCCTTAACATTTACACTGCACACATCAAAGTTAAGGACGCCATGTCCTTAATATTTATATTGCACACATCAAAGTTAAGGATACCATGCCCTTAACATTTACACTGCACACATCAAAGTTAAGGACGCCATGTCCTTAATATTTACAATGCACACATCAAAGTTAAGGACACCTTGTCATTAATATTTACACTGCACACATCAAAGTTAAGGACACCTTGTCATTAATATTTACACTGCACACATCAAAGTTAGGTTAAGGACACCATGTCCTTAACATTTACACTGCACATAATAAAGTTAAGGACACCATGTCCAAAATATTTACAGTACAAATATCAAAGTTAAGGACACCATGTCCTTAACATTTATACATGCACACATCAAAATTAAGGATACAATGTCCTTAACATTTACAATGCATACTTCAAAGTTAAGGATACTATTTTCTTAATATTTACAGTGCACACATAAGAGTTAAGTTGAGGACACCGTGTCTTTAACATTTAAATTGCATACATCAAAGTTAAGGACACCATATCCTTAATATTTACAATGCACACATCAAAATTAAGGACACCATGTCCTTACTATTTACACTACACACATCAAAGTTAAGTTAAGGACACCATGTCCTAAATATTTACAGTGCAAACATCAAAGGTAAGGACACAATGTCCTAAATATTTACAGCGCAAACATCAAAGTTAAGGACACCATATCCTTAACATTAACACTGCACACATCAAAGTTAAGTTAAGGACATCATGCCCTTAGCATTTATACTGCACACATCAAAGTTAAGGACACCATGTCCTTAATATTTACACTGCACACATCAAAGTTAAGTTAAGGACACCATGTCCTAAATATTTACAGTGCAAACATCAAAGTTAAGGACACAATATCCTAAATATTTACAGTGCAAACATCAAAGTTAAGGACACCATGTCCTTAACATTTACAGTGTACAGTTAAGGACATCATGTCCTAAATATTTATACTGCAAACATCAAAGTTAAGGACATCATGTCCTTAACATTTACACTGCACACATCAAAGTTAAGGACATCATGTCCTTAACATTTACACTGCACACATCAAAGTTAAGTTAAGGATATGGTGTCCTTAACATTTACACTGCACACATCAAAGTTAACTTAAGGACATCATGTCCTTAACATTTACACTGCACACATCAAAGTTAACTTAAGGACATCATGTCCTTAACATTTACACTTCACACAACAAAGTTAAGGACACCATGTCCTTAAAGTTGAAGCACGTTGAATAGCACGCCACGCCTTGTGATACCCAATGTCTAGTCCATGCAATTTTTGCATTTCAGCCATGACAAAGGCTGGTGTAACTTCAAACCTTGGGTCTCGAAGATTGTCAATAATGTAACCACTAATCAACTTTGAAGTTGCATGCCTTTGATAAACTTTCATATTGTTAACTGAGCAGTCATGATTTTTCTCAATCCTTACTATCTTGAATAGTGTTGAATCTTTAATTCTGAAAGCACGCACACTCCACCCACACTTTTCATCATTGTATTTCAAAGAATATCTTGTTGAGCTTGATCTAACAAACTTGAATTCAAAATGTGCTTTAATTGCTATATTCGAAAAACAGTTAATTATACTCTTCTTTTTCTCAAATATTGATCCCACTTTTATTTTATCCAATGAAATGTTTTCTCTTAATATTGTAGTTGGAGATTCTTTTTGTTTTGACTTTGACCTTCGTCTAGTTAGTTGAGTAGAGGATTTTTCAGCAACTTCTTCTATTACTGGTGCACTCTCTAAGACTTGAATACCCAAAGTTTGTTGGTTGTCAATCTCTATAATATTTTATCCTTCCACTTGAATAGAATTAAATGTTTGAAGCACCTCTTCAATTATTGGTTCATGTTCAACCACATATATTCCCATTATCTGTTGGCATTTGTCTTGATTGTCTTGTTGAGTTTCTATATTGACATGTTCAAAGGTACTTGTAGAGCCGAAAAATCTTTCCGAAATATCAACAATGAAACGACAACCCTTGAAGAGTGAATGACTTTTTAGTAACTCTATACATGTGTGAAGATCTAAATCTTTGGATACAAGCATTCCCTTGCTTGTTCCCAGGTTGATATCAAACCATATCATTGCTTCAAAATTGTCTCTATTCAATTCAATAACTTCAAAGACCTAGTTGACGAAATCTTCAAATCGAATTGCCTCAGGTACTAGAACAAGCTTTGTTCGATGATCCGGATACTTATAGTATGCGGTCCATCTTTTATTAAAAGCAACTATAATACATATTGTATCCATCCTGCAAGTCAAGAAAATAGGAAATTCAAGGCACGATGTCTTTAATATTTACACAGTAGTCATGAAGTTAAGGACACAATGTCCTAAACTTTATCAATACAACTTGCAAATACATGACTCTTTGTCCTTAATATTTGTACAACAATCATGAAGTTAAGGACACGATGTCCTAAACTTTATTAATACAAGTTGCAAATATATGATACTTTGTCCTCAATATTTACACAACTGTCATGAAGCTTAAGGACACAATGTCTTAAACTTAATCAATACAAGCTGCAAATACATGACACTATGTCCTTAATATTTACACAGTAGTCATAAAGTTAAGGACACGATGTCCTAAACTTTATCAATACAAGTTGTAAATACAAAATACTTTGTCCTTAATATTTATACAACAGTCATGAAATTAAAGACACGATATCCTAAACTTTATTAATACAAGTTGTAAATACATGACACTATGTCCTTAATATTTTTACACAATAGTCATAAAAGTTAAGGACACGATGTCCTAAACTTTATCAATACAAGTTGCATATACAGGTTACTTTGTCCTTATTATTTACACAGCAGTCATGAAGTTAAGGACATAATGTCCTTAACTTTATCAATAAAAGTTGCAAATACAAGACACTATGTCCTTAATATTTACACAGTAGTCATAAAAGTTAAGGACACGATGTCCTAAACTTTATCAATACAAGTTGTAAATACAAGACACTTTGTCCTTAATATTTACACAGTAGTCATAAAAGTTAAGGACACGATGTCCTAAACTTTATCAATACAAGTTGTAAATACAAGACACTTTGTCCTTAATATTTACACAACATCATGAAGTTTAAGGATACAATGTCCTTAACTTTATCAATAAACGTTGCAAGTACAGGACACTTTGTCCTTAATATTTACACAACAGTCATAAAGTTAAGGACACAATGTTCTTAACTTTATCAATACAAGTTGTAAATACAGAAAAATTTATCAATACAATGCAATCCAGAAAAGAAAAAAAAAATCAAATCATTTGCATCTTATTCTCCACCAACCAAATAAAAATCCACACAAACATACAAAAGCATATAGAGATATCTGAAATTTTAGAACTTACGGTAATTTTATGGTGAATTTGGAGGAGAAAGTTGAATTCTCTAATTTGAGAAAGGAGGAGAAAACCTTTTGTAATTTGGACGATCACAGGCAAAGTTTGAGCGAAGTTCTCTGCAATCCCAAAAAGTTTATTTACGTTCTTGCACGTAAATAAGCTGAGCGAAGTTATCACGTAAATAAGGAGCGTAGGTTTCAGCAAAATTATTATAGCAGAAGGGTATTTTCGTTCGGACGAGTAAAAGTTTATTAAAATAGTGGTTAAAGACTAAAGATATTATAAACAGTGGCTTAAAAGTAAATAAATCTTTTATTACTTGGTAACTGTGCAGTTCCCCATCAATAACATCGGACCCATTTCCTTTTGGACTTCAAATTATTGGGCTCCCGGTCGGGTTCCGGCGGTTCTCATCTCCGGTTCGTTTTCATTCGCCATTCGAAAATTCTAACACTCCGATCGAATATGGATTTCACAATAATAATTCAATGCTAGTGCTTCATTAAAAAACCTCAGACAACAAAACTTTCGCGCTTTCACAGGTAATATATCTTTTCATGAATGATAACACTATCGTATAATTTATCGCGATCGTATATTGTTAGCGCTGCACGGCGCATTTCATGTGTTTGCATTACTCTTTTTGACTTAACTGGAGTTTAAGATGTTAAATGTATTATGTATTAGATAGGCGAAAGTATTAAAGTAAGAGTTGAAAAGGTTGTTATTAGAGAAGTAGTTAAAAGTTTGAGTAGTTGAATGAATTTGAATTTCTGAAAGTTGTGAAAATTACATTGAAATGGAATGGTGTGACGTTGAAATTCCAGCATAGGCAAAAAACACTAAGTGGTTTCTTCCCATCTGCCTAGTCCTTGGTAGGCAGAGTTACACGGTACCTGTGCTGGTGGAAGGTAGTAGATACCCGGTGGAATAGTTGAGGTGCACGCAAGCTGGGCCAGACATCGCCATCATAAAAAAGAATAAGAAAAAGAAAAGGAAAAAAGAAAAAGAGAAAAAGACACTAGGTGATGATAGGCAGAGTTTCTCCTTACTTGTGCTGGTGGGAGGTAGCAAGTACTCTTACTTGTGCTGGAATAGTCGAGGTGCGCGTAAGCTAGCCAGACACCACCGTCATTTAAAAAGAAAGAAAAAAGAAATGGAATGGTGTCATACATTTTTAGCAAAATGGGATGAGTATGATACAAATTGGAACAAAGTGAGTATTGATATGAGGTTTCAGTGATACTTGATGGCTATATAGAAAAGAAATCAATATCTTTATGTATTTTTTTTTTGGTGCACAATCTCAGACGCAAATTCGTGCTCTTGCCTGTTATTTGTGTTTATGTGTCTATTTATTTTATTTTTATTAACATAGGCTCGGAAACTTGGGGCCGACCTTAGGCAGGTGTCCCTCCGAAGTCCAATGGAGGGCACCATCCATGTAAGTCTGTTTTTGTGTCTATCGTGCTCACTGATTTTTAGCTTAGTGCATTTTTTGTCTATGCAGTAATCGTTGTTTTGTTATATTTTTTAAGCATTATCTAAAAGGAATTGGTGGATCAGTTACTAATTTGGGGTTTCACAAGCCTATTCATCTAATACATTAGAAACTAGCTTCACTACTATGTCAACATGCCTTTATTTATTATATAAAAGTATAAAGGAAAGAAAATCCCTAACTAAAATATGGAAATTTCAAGTTTGTTAGTTATTAGATATACCTCTTACTCCATTTGATAGTTTATTTCGGTTTTCTTTTCTCCTTTCATAAGAAAAGAAGATTTGTTGAATATTAAGATAGACGAGAAAGGTGAATGATTGAGGACAAGTAATGTGCTTAATTAATGAAGAAAATCAATTTAGTTGCATTGGTCTTGTTAACATTGGTAGTGTTTTTTTGGAAAGAAGCAACTTGTGGTTAATCTATTGGTGATAATGCGCAAGAGGTCATATGTTTAGCCCTGCATTCACAACTTAAAGAATTGGCAAAGGGAGACTGTGAGGAAAGAAGTTCTCTTCAAATGCTTTTATTGTAGAGAACCATATTGTTGTGTAGGTTCTTTAATTTTGTGTGCTACTCCTGTAACAGGAATTTCCCACTGCATTAATAGAAATATTACCTCATGAAAAAAAAATGATTTTCAGGAAGTCTGTCCTTTTCATTTTCTATTACTCCATGTCATTTCAACTTCTCAATATCACAGTTGGGAGTTGTCCGCCATTGCAGCCAGATGTGTCCGCTAGCTGTTGTATGTTATTACCTCAATCGCTGGAACCAACAGCTTTTAGATATTTTTTCGATAAGGTAGTTTTATTAATAATAACAGTACCAAGAAGGTAATAAAGTAGTAAAAAAATATTGAACTTGTACGAAGACTAGCAAGAAACTGAATCTAGCAAGTCTAAGAAGTCATCTATGTTAATGACAGTATCACCTTTTTGTCTTATAAACAAATGTTGTAAACACCTATATTTTATAGCAGAAATCTGGTCCTTTTTCTTTTCAAAACATCTCTTGTTTCTTTCTTGCCAAACCGTCCAAATGATGCAGAAAGAAATAAGCTTCCAGATCATCTTCATCCTTTTCTTCATGTATTGTGCTTGCCAGCTGTTCTCTAGATCCTTGATGAAGATTTCTAGTTCTAGAGATACCAAATTCTCGTGGTTAACAAACAACTAACAGGTGAAGATCACCAAAGCTGGAGGAATTTATTAACTTTATGGCTTTCGCTGTCATCCCCCATTTTCTTCTATGATTTTTAGTGCACTGGTATTTTGCTTTTCGCTATTTGAGGTTTATCGGAAAGGTGGGAGTTCTTGGAGGGAGAGAGCCGATGATCTATTAGAAACAGCCTCTCTACCCCAGGGTAGGGGTAAGGTCTGCGTACACCTACCCTCCCCATACCCCACTAGCGGGATTATACTGGGTTGTTGTTGTTGTTGTTGTTGTTGTTGTTGCTATTTGAGGTTTATAAAATTTTGGGGTTCTTGGATCCATAGGTCATTAAGCTCTTCAGGAAGGGTTGAATCATGAAGTAAAATATGCTTACTTAAAGTATCAAGTTTCACCTGTTCACCTTCTTCTTATACAAAAGAAGAGAAAATATCTTTCTTGATAAGCAGAAAAGAAAACACAATACTATGTTTATTTTGTTCATAATTTACTGCATGTATATTATGCAGTGGAAATCTGATAACAGGCTGAAGTGTAGCAAAAGTTATTTGGACAGCCAAATGAACATGCTGTCAATTTTGCAAATATATAAATATGAGACAACGCATTATTACATTGAAACCTTTGAGCTCTCGTAGGGCCTAAGTTTTTATACAATTTAGCACTTGCACACTATTAGTCTACTAGCTGGGCATGCTTCTTGCTGTCTGTCCAACACGATAGTGGCATCTATGTTCACTGGATTCGCTAATTGGGGACAAATGTTCCAACATACCCAACTCCAACGATGAAGAAAGCTCCTGCTTGCAGGAACAGGTATATGAAAAAGTGATCATTTCCAAATAGCATGTTGTATATAGCACAGTATAGCATATACATTCCCATTAGCAGCTCTAAGACATGAATCCTGTTTTCAAACCATAGTGCAGGTTGCAATCAGAAATTTGCAGGATAGAGAAATACTTTGATGTTACCAACTTCGTAGGACTGAATAAACTGTCAAATGTAATGAAAAGTATCAATATACGATTACCTTTCACCTATCCTCGATCTTGGTCTCTTTGATGCCTTGGCACTATACTTTTGCTTCATCATGTTCCCCAGCTTCTCAGTTACAACCCATTCATTTACTCGGTTGGCTTCTAAGAGTCCTATTATTGTTGCCTTAGATCGATGGAGAGACATGACGTTTTCGAATAGGATCCAGAATACAAGAAGATGAAAAGATCTGCATGGAAACAATACTAAGCTGTGTGAATTATCGTGCTTTCAAAAATATGTAAATGAACAGAAGAAGGTTTTCTGAGTTTGAGTTCACATACCTTGGTGTGCAAGCGGCATTAAGAATGGTAATGGTTGCTGGAAGATATATAGCTAGAGGCTTTGTAAGATGGACTTCAGGCACTAAGATAGTTGCTGGAATGACAACACAGTAAAAGAAAAAAGTAACCCAGTGTGCAATAATCTTCCTCACAAAGAAGAAGCCGTAGATGAGATGAAACTTCTTCCAGATTGATACACGCTGCATTAAAAGAAAAGGTGTGATGTGACTCGTTGACAGAAAAGCTTCCTTTTTTAATAATAGACAGAATTTGGAAAATAGTATCACCTCGCAAAGCATGATCTCTTTCATCATCTTGCGAAAGAGGTTAGCTGGGCCACACGACCAGCGGTGCTGCTGAAATCTATAAGCCTTGAAGGTACTTGGGAGTTCGTTCTTGACCTAAATGAACTATGTTATGCTTCTGATAGATAGAGGCTTCTAGTCATTTCCATAAATAAGAATTTTTGAAGTTATGAACTCACAGCTAGGTCACCCACAAACACAAATTTCCAACCCTTAAGGCTAGCCCTGACTGCAAGATCCATGTCCTCTACTGTGGTCCTGTCTTTCCATCCACCAGCATCATTCACTGCTTGAATTCTCCAGACGCCAGCAGTCCCTACAATTCAATCCAAAAAGCTAATTGCATTCTCAAAATAATTTCTAGCTGTTGAATGCCTGTATGTGGAGTGAGATCTGACTCTTGGTTTACCGTTGAACCCAAAGAATGAACATGTTGACGAGCCAACTTCTTGCTCAACACTGAAGTGATAGTCCAATGACATCTCCTGGAGTCGAGTCATCAGACATTCATCTGCATTAACTGTGGAAACATTTTGATTACATTAATGATTAGGTTAGTAAGAACCAGAAATACGACTGAAGCTGTTAATTCTGCCTATGAGTCTACGCATGCATTGCCTTTAAATAGATTAAGGACAGTTTGCTGAATATATATATATATATATATATATATTTTAGATAAATCTCTTTGTGAAAAGTTCTGAGTGAGATGGAAACAACATAAAGGAATCCTGTAATTATAAAATGGATGCAATCGCAGTTTACTATCGCAAAACATAATAATATTACTGCTCATTAATTGTGTTATACCTCTTTTGAACACCTTTAAAAAAATTGTTTTTGAGGAACATGACCAATAATTCAGTGTGTTATGGACATATTGCTGTCTTTGGCCTTACCAAATTTCCATCTGGCTTGAACCAAAGCCAATTCTGGGTTGTCGAGAAGATATGGTATAGTCCTCCAAAGAAAGTCTTCATCAGGCTGAAAGTCTGCATCAAAGATCACAACAAACTCACAGTCATCAACATACTGCTTCTTTAGACCTTCCTTGAGAGCACCGGCTTTGTAGCCATTCCTGTTGTTTCTTGTTTCGTATTTCACGTTAATCCCTCTCTCTATCCACTTTCGACATTCCAGGTCCACTAATGTCTGCAAATATATCCTTAAAAATTATTTGGGATTTAGAAGATTCTTAAATTTTGCTCTCAGATAATGTTGAGTTGAAAGAGATACCCTTAAAACTTCATTGGTGGAGTCATCAAGAACCTGCACAATGAGCCTATCTGATGGCCATGACAAGCCACATACAGCTCCAATAGAGAGCTTGTAAACCTGATAAAGAACAGTAAGATGAGTAATGGTTTTCATTGTAAAGAAAGTTTATATTCCTATTCATCTGCTATTCTTGTTGGCACTCAGACTAATTCCAAATGCTTTTTTCTTGCTGCCCTGTTTTTATTTTCTTTGATCAGGAGCAAGGCACAAATATTATTGCCTTTATGTTGTATGCTCCTAAACGTTGTTCCTTGTCCAACTAAGCTAGAGGCTAGACCCTTACTGTCAATATGCTAGTGACATATTCTCAAATTTAAATTGCATAATGGCAGAAAATAACTAGGTTTGTTTCTGTTGGTTTTTAATTAGATGCTCTTATTAAGCTATCTACAAGTCATTAACAGTGTTGGATGATTAACATAAATCTATAATTTCTACAATCAGTCAAACAGTATGTAGATTCTATTGGTCAAAACGTCCTTAAACTATCTTGCTCCTTTTGGAATTTTTAAAGAGATGGACAATAAGCTTCCTTCCCATGTTCTGGCTTACCGTCCTGCTTTGACCTTGTTAGCCAATTAACATTGACCTGTTAAATCTATCTTATTTATTTGGTCTCCTGCTATTAAAAACATGGTTTTGTAGCAGTACTCAAGACGAAAAAATTAGACACCGACAAAAGATTTGTCAATTTAATCAGTAAAGTCTGACTAATGGTTCAGGATTTATATGAGAAGGGATTAATTTCTTGCATCTATTTTTCCATTTAAGAAATTTCTGGTATTTGTGGTGTAGTTTTGCCATTTTTCTAATTCTTTTCTGAATGGTCTGGGCATGGGGAAGCCAGGAAGGGTAAGGGTGAGAGAAGAACAAAGATTGCTCCACTAGCATTGATGGTAAAATCCTCCAGTGAACTTTCACTTGATACTCAGTACAGTTTTACACTGTTGTTTCTAGATTTTTGATTATTGGTGGTTGTGAGAAACGAAATTGTATTTTCTGTTGCTGATTGACTAAATTTCTTTCAGTTTTGGGATCATTGTATGTTAGTGATTTATTTTCTACAAATTACTTTCAAGATGGGAACAATATAACCACTGATCGAGAAAAAGAAAGGGGGATGAAAACAAACATAATCTTAGTTACTTCTAAGCAAATAGTTAAAATTGAGACACAATGCTGAACAATAATCATGTATGCATAACTGTAAATCTCTGGAACTTGAACAGAAAAGACATATACTCAAGTAAAGTTAAAAGGTTCTGGCAGGTATGTACCTCCTTTTCGTTGAACATAGGTATTTGGACCAACACCATTGGGTAGTTTTTGTGCTTCTCTAGGTCTTCTTTTACAGACTCGAGCTTATACTTGGTATATCTTTTCCTTCCAAAGCACTTGACCCCTGCGATCACTATTGCCATGTAAATGCGCTCAAGAAAGAGCATGATGGACATCCCTATGCATATATACATTGCAAGATGTAGAGCAGGCACAACTACTGGAACTCGTATCCGCTCCCAGGCATGATTTAGATTTTGAGTAGTATTGGTATTTACTCTGATCCCGGGTTCTTCGAAAATGAGATTTCTCATGGTCTGTACTCGAGTTATTGTATGATATGGAGGGCCTGAATTCGGAGTTCAGTGAGGGAGCAGACCACTTTGGGTTGAAAGGAACGAGCTTGCACTGTAAGTACATAGAGATGGAGTGAGATTGTGGTGAACTTGAGGATGCAGGTTTTGTTGCTTTAAATAGAGATGAAGTGTGATTGTAGTGAAGGTGACGATAGTAAATGGAGATGAGGTGGAGTGGTGTCGTAGATTGAGTAATCCATTTAAATAAAGTTCTTCCATGTGAGAGACACACGGTCTACATGCAATGAAGGTGCTGCAACGTATTATCTTGCTAGCTGGAGTTCTGGCTTTTCCCTCCGACAATGCTGTTGGAGGATCTATCATAGCTATACATGTTAACATTTTGAATTGGATAATACAGAGTAAGTTTTTAATAATTCTATCTATTTACTCTTTTAAAGAGAAGCGCCTAAGAAATTCCATCTGAATTTCACCAAATGCTTTTTAATTCCCGAGTCCTTTGATTATAACTCATCCTCTCTTTTCACCATTGCCCATATCCATGTTTTAGCTCTTATGTCACTCTGCTTTTCATGCTTTCTTCTTGAGAGTATTAGTGGTAATACTGACCTAGATTAGAAACAAAATATTTAGCTCAATAGGACTCTGTCGCTTTATCCTGCGCACCTACATCAAATGATTGCTTTTAAAATCATATTATCAAATAACGAGTATTGCAAAATAAGCTTTGAAGTTCTTTACAGCTGGCATAACTCTGTTTTTTCTGAACGTAGAACCATCAAGTGATGCAGAAATCTAGCCTCAAAGATGACACGCCTCATTTGGAATCATGTGAATATGGAACATAACACGTTTTGAGCACATCCAAGTCTAATGTCGTCATCAACTCTTTGAATTGTCATCTAAATTGTCCATTCTTGTGCGGGTTACTTGCAGTCCCAAGTCATGATGGATATGTTAGTAAGTGGTTGGCTTTATTTAAATGTTTATAAGCTACCTTCTGAATGATGACTTTCCTAATTATTCGTTGCTATTGGTAATGCTTTAGAAAGTAGATAAGTTTGGTTTAAATACGTCCCACTTGTTGAGGGCAATATTCTAGTTAAGCCATGTCCAATTTTGTTTAGGGAAATAAATTGCTGGCTAATTTGGCTGATTTGGTTACCCAATTTGTCAATTTTCCTACACTAAAATGTTCTTAAGTTAGTTAAAACTTACAAGCAACTTGTAATGTGTTAGTGACAAACGTCACTTGGGTAAGAAACAAGAATGTTCAGCTTAATTGGCACATGTCAATTTACACTTCATAAAATGATGTATTTTGAAAATCACAGTATGGAGTTCACCAAATATGTTTTTTCTAGTTCTGAATCTTTTGGTTATGTGTACTGATAACCTCTAAATTTAGTCCATGTTAAAAGGATAGGATCTTGGTTTTGACTTTTAAAGGATATTGTTTGATGTTTGTGGGTGCTAAATGCATAAGATAAAATTGACACTTTCTTTCGCTTGTTTTTTCTTGTTTTTATTCTTTAACCTGAAGCAACATTTACCCTGATTTTTTGTGAAAACATTGTACATTCTGTATACGAGGATGCAGGTGAATAGTGTGAATTATATCCATCCATATGAATATTCTTAATCTGCTTCTCCTAAATTCTTAAGTGATTGAATTTCCTCAGTAGCTCATCGTTATATGGATAAAATGCTTTTGGTCTTTCTTCTTTTCTTTCTTTTGTTTTTGTTTCACATATCTTATATTTTATAATCTTGTCATATATATATATATATCTTGTCTTGGGTTTGCATATATACTGTAATAGATTACGCCATTTCATCATTGTTGATGCTTTATTTTTTATTTTCTTTTTGTATTACTCCAACCTTTATTCCTTCCAAAATGGGAATGTGACAGTTGTAAGTTTTGGGGAAATAAGTAATAACAAAAAAAAACTTGGACATGCCACCTTAGATTCTAAAATCCACTTCAAGTGCATTTAAGATTCTACAAGTTCATATCATTGTGGAGATCTCCTCTACAATACCTAGTATACTAAGAATTCTTGAGATTTTCAATACTATTTCCATGTGATTATGTGAAAACTCTACTTTCAAAGCTATAGACTTCAAGATCTTGCAAGGATATGAGATCTGCAGTCATAATTATGACCTTGAATAAGGATCTCCTTTCTACAAATATGCGTAGGGATACATAAGCACATGGGCACTAAAAAATAAATTTAACAAACCCTGTAAGCTACTACAGCTGCAAGTTGAGGCGAATTCATTTATGAAATGACCCACTGAAGTTGGATAATCTCTTTTAGTCTCTTGTGACCAACTTATGAGCAATGGCTGTTTTCCCCTGGAACACATTATTGACTCCTGTATATTACATGTTAACCACTGATTGTATAGATTGTTTCCCGAGTTTTTAGTTTCCATTACCAGAATGTTATCGACTATATTGTTCAAACACTTTCACTTCTGTAATTGATATGTTGGGTGATGCGGCCAATTTGATCATCACTATGTATGTCGTGGATATATGTCCTAATAGTGATAATTGATGATATGGTACAGCAGTCCTCATGTTTGAAAATCGGACATGTTTTCAGATGCAAGTGGTTTCTTTCTTTCTTTAGAAACTCAAGACATTATATATCTGAAGTATTGAAGTAAAACGACTTATATATCTTGTGGTTAATTGTCTTTCTCAAAAAAATTAAAAAATCTTGTGGTTAATTGTTAATATTCCAATATATAAGCATTTCTATCTTCTTGTTTAAATTAGATCTAAACAATCTTTTCGAAGAAAACAAATGGAATGTACATTTGTTTTATAATCGTGGTGTTTGGGCCAGCTTGCGCATACTTCGACGAATTCCACGGAATACCTGCTTCTTCCCACTAGCAACAGGTAGCAGGTAACTCTATCCACGAAGGCTTGCATAGATGAGAAAAAATCACCTTGTGTTTTTGTCTCCGCTGAGATTTGAACCTGAGACGTCAGATTCTCAACCCGCTTCATTGACCACTAGGCCACACCCTTGGGTGCTAATAAAATGTATCTTTATTGAAACCCAGCTTCTTTTATGTTACTTCTAAGAACGGTGCATTTCTGTTGGATCGGAGGTAGACCCATGCTACACAAATGACCGAGTGTCTTTTTAAGAATCATGACCTTGAATTCAATTCCAAATTCTTGCACTGTTGTGCATTCTCCACCTTTTACCTCTCCGTTAATGCTGATTTTGTTATGAGACTGACATTTCAACTTCTTTTTCATGGTATCCCTTCAATTAAATGGGAAGATTGCATCTTATTTCCCGGTTACTGACAAATTGAGAAGTGGTGCATGGTCAGACCTTTTTACCTTACAAACATTACTGTCATACTCATCACATTTGAACCGGATATCATGCCTATGCAGCCAATCAATCAGACCACTTGAATATTCCAATTTGTTGGATCAACATTAGTTGTTGATGGTTCCTTCTTTTCCCCGAATTTGTTGTTGATCCTTAAAGATTAATTTGTGCATGTGTGGGTTGATGCTTGTGATTATTGCTTGGAATGATAGATCATGTGACATCTGATCATTGTGGAGGAGGAGCTTTGGTTTGTTTTAGGGAGAAAAGTAGCACATCTATGTGTCATTCATTGTCAGTTCACCACTTTCTAAAAGACCTTACAACAAAAGGGTCCGACTCAGGAATAAGCACTGTATCCAACCTTTTATCATTTTCCATACCATGTGGGAAGCATATCAAATTACAAATTCAATGCCTTTTGTTAAATGAAACTATTCCAACTTCTGCGGTCCTAACTGCTAGGTGCATTTTTCTATGCACGTTTCTTTTCATGGGCGTTGGACCTCTGAAATGTCTTTCTGCCAGAACCAAACTCCATTAGTAGGTTTTATTGGTTTATTAACGTGGTTGAGGCTCTCCAGTTTCTTGAAATATGGAGGACAGGGATAATCGACTCCAATATATAGTTTTGCCTCCAAGATATTGTTGTTCAATTACCTGCCTAATATGTCTTTGATATTCATTGGTGTTGCAGGTGAGTGTCTTTTTTAATGCGTTTCCTAAGATCTGCAATTACTACGAGGAAAAATCATCTCTTCTTTCCATTTCTGAGTGCAGATTCATGCATCTTTCCCTTGCATTTGAAGGTATTAATTAGCTTATTTTCCAAGTTTCCGTAAAAAGGTAATCTCTGTTCTTGTTCATGTCAAATGCATCACAAAGGCGATGCTAATGTCTGTTAAATTAGAAGAATAATTACTTCTCTCCCCACGGTTAGTCAGTTGGAACTTGGAAGTTTTTCTTGTACATATCTTCGCACGATATTTAGCAGCGATTATGATAAAGGCAGTGAACATCCAAGCCGATTATGTCTCGGGTGGCAAAGACTAATTTGGAGATAACACATCCTTGTCTATGGTGCCACGGCGTATCTGGCACTTGTAACGATGAGGAAGAGAGAGTCATGTCTGTGGCAGCTGAGGTATTGTATCTCTTAAATAGTTAGAGCTGCTGTCAATTTATTTTGGAGTTCACTGGGTGTGATATCTAGGGTGCTTGTATTGTCATTTTGAGAGCATTGAATTATGCGCCCCGGGATTATGGTTCAGTAGTAAGTGTACAGCGCATGAATTGTGATATGTGGGTGAGTTGCATGGACGAGTTCATCCTGTCGTACTCGAAAGTTGGGTATTTAAGTGGAGAAGGATAGAGGGGCAGGCTCATTACCCACTGAGTTTCAAACTGTGTCCCAGCTAGCTCACGGGATTTTCTCTGTTGTCAAAAAGAGGTTTGAGTAAGCACGATAACTTACAATGTTACATTTTTGTGTTATTCTTCAGCCTTATTTTATGTTTATAACTGAGTTTGATTAAGAATCGCTCCTATGAACTGTAACTGCTAAAACGTCGCTTACTGTTTCATTCTATTCAGGATTCAGAAATTTTAGTTTTGCAGTGCACCAAATCCTTTCGAAGGAAAAGAGAGAAAAGCAGTAACTCTTTGGTGTAGCTACTGAACTTAGACAACGTGAATTTATAATAATATCAAAATCCATTTAGTTAAATACAACAACAAAACCAGTGTAATCCCATAGGTGAGGTTTGGGGAGGGTAGTATTTACGTTGACCTTACTCCTATCTTGAGAAAGTAAAGGTTGTTTTCGGTAGACCCTTGGTTCGGGATCCATTTAGAAAAAAATTATTTTGTTCCTCACGGGCTTTGTTTTGTCTCGCAACAAAGTGGACTCAATTCTTACACATTTGGGTCCACATGTGAGACAAAACAAAGGCTCACACAACTAGTGTGAGGCACATAGTAAATGTTTTCGTTAAAATATGAATGATTTTTTTAGTGTGATTAATACGTTGTATGGCAGATCAATTATTCTTTGCTTCTTCTGTTCACCTTCTCAAGGAAAAATGAATGGGAGGTTTTCATAAATACATATAGAATCACTATGGTGTACCCTATATCAATAAATATATAACTTTTAATAATTACATAATTATTATTAAATAATATATTTGAGTTCTTGAACTAAAAGTAAAAACAATAATTTATTTATTTTTGTGTTAGGGGTTCATGCTTTTATGCTATTATAAAAATATAAAAATATAAATATTTTCCTACTTGAATAACATTTTTTCTCTTTATTGAATTTTTGTATAATATCTAAAAATTGTACGTATTGAATAATTTAATCTCTTTTAATAGTGACAAACTGTATATAGAATCTTCCCTTTAGATCTATGAGTTCAAACATATTTCATATGGAAATGGTGTAAGCAAATATAAGGAAAAGAAAACGTCCTAAATATAATGACTCTTATTTCTCCCAGATACATTTATGTTAAAGTTCTAAATATTATGATTTCCTATATAATTTAAATAAGAAAAAAATTAATATTTTCAAAGTACTAAATATTAGAAAAATAATTAAATTGTGATTTTGTCTAATATGAAATCTATTTTTAATTAGTAAAAAAGACGAACAATTGTCACGATCCAAAATCCCACCACAGGCGTCGATCCAAAATCCCACCACAGGCGTCGTGATGACACTTAGTATCTAAGACTAAGTAAGTCTATTATAATTACAATTCAAGCCAATTTTTTTAAAATAGAAACTAACAGCGGAAATAGTTACAAACAACCTCCCAAGACTGGTAATACTGAGTCACGAACTCTAATCGAATACATGAAATAATCTCAAGGATCGAATACTCAATACTGTTTGATTAATAATTAACAGTACAATAAAATGGAAAGACTTCAAGAGACTGCGACGACCAAGCAGCTCTACTTTGAATCCTTGCGATCACACTCTAACTCTGTCCGAGTACGATAGCTCCAATACCTAGCTCTGCACAAAAATGTATAGAAGTGTAGTATGAGTACACCACAGTCGGTATCCAGTAAGTACCAAGACTAATCTCAATGGAGTAGTGACGAGGTACAATCGAGACACTCACTAGTCTAATAACCTGTGCAATATAGTATACAAAAATAATAGGAAACATATAACAACGATGACAACAATAATCAACCAGTTATATACACACCAGGACAGCAAGAACACCATAAATATTGCTCAACAAATAATGAATACAAGTACAACCAATTAATCAAGTCTTTTAAATATAAATCTTTTGCCTATATTTTTTTTTCAAATAATAATTTTCAGGATATAATACTCTCCAATAAATATATTTCGAATATACTCCCTTCAAATAAATATCTTTCAAATAAATCTCTTTTAAATATAATTCTTTCAAATAAATATCTTTCGAATAAAAGTCACCATGTGACACCTCATTTCAAAATCATAAAAATATGGGTCTCGGCCCACTTTCATATTTTCACGACACCTCGTGCCAATTTCTCTATCACAAACGCACGGACAACTCACGTGCCAATATCATCATCATTTACTCACGGCACCTCGTGCCCACATTTCATATCACAACTGCACGGACAGTTCACGTGCCAATATCATTATTATTTACTCACGGCACTTCGTGCCCATATTTCATTTCATAATCCGCCTGACAATAGCCACAGACTCCCAATTTCAACATAGATCAGACTATTATCAATTTACCAACAACAAGACAAATTGTACAAGATATAAAAATAAACACAAGAAAAATCACAACATCACATGAAAATTACCAATGCAATAACCCCACATCATCACATAAAAATTACCAACACAATAACTCCACATCATCACGTATCATCCCTGACAATGGCCACCCTTATCTCTCCTATAGCCACCATTATCACTCCTATAATAGCCTCCCTTTTATCCCTTTGCCCTAACAATATCAATAACCACCCTTATCGCTCAGTATAATAGCCACCCTTATTACTCCGCCCAAATAATATCCCAACAAACATAACCACAGTGAAATGCCACCCTTATACCCACATAATATCAACAGTGAAATGCCAGCCTTATATTCTCATAATAATAACTCAAATCACACAATAATTTACATGAGATATTATCACGACAACACAACACAATCAATTCCTCTCACAATTTGCCCAACAACCACAACCAATTCCAATGATATAGTAAAATCAATAAATTTCTCGAAAATAGCCTAAGGCTCCACACAACGTATATAATACCTCAAAAACAATCAACAGAGATAGAAAATACTCAGTATAGGGCAACGCCTTCATTAATCCAAATTCTTGATAATTATATTAACGCCTCAGTTTAAACTTAGTTCATTAATTATTTGCAGACGGAAAAATCCATAATATAATTATTTCCAGGAAATATCAAATCAACAAACTTACGGAATTTACATAAATATTCAAGTAACAATCACATCAGATTATCATATAAAAATAAATTAAACAAACAAGGACTGAGGCATGTTAAATAAATGATTTAATGAATGCCAACAATTATCCAATTTACTATACAATAATGCCTAAGACTTTAACCCAATAAAATTTGCACATATAAGCCTGAGTACGTACTCGTCACCTCGCGTACATGGCTTTTCACATTTCACAAATGGCACATAAGACTCGATGCCTAAGGGGTAATTCCTCCACTCAAGGTTAGGCAAGATACTTACCTTTTTGAAGTTATGCCGATATTCCAAAATTGCCTTCTTGCTTGATGTGACCTCTTGACAGCTCAAATCTATCCAAATTAATTATATAACTTCATTAAAATTCATCGAAAATAATTTCGGATAATAAAACGTCGACTTAAAATTTTATTCTAAAAAGTTAACCAAAAGTCAACGCGGGACCCGCCTCTCGGAACCTGACATAATTTTCACAAAATCCAAAACCCATTCCGATGCGAGTTCAATCATACCAATTTTATCGAATTCCAATAACAAATCGTCTTCCAAATCTTGAATTTTTGTTTTATAAAATTTCTACAATTTTTTCCAAATTTTTATTTCAAAATACTAATTAAATGATGAAAAAAATGATATATTCATATATATTAACCAAATCCGAGTTAGAATCACTTACCCCGATGATTTTCGTGAAAATCTCACGAAAAATCGTCACAAACCGAGCTCCCAAAGTCCAAAAATGAAAAATGAGATGAAACTCTCGTTCATATAGTACAAAATCTGATCCCCATTGTGCTGACCGCACATCTCAGGTGCTGCGGTCGCACTCCAAATTGTGCGGCCGCACTTCAGACGCTCTCCGCTACCAGGTTTCAGTAAATTAATTATAACTCTCTCTACAAATGTTCAAACGATTAATGGTATATCTTCCTGGAAACTAGATTCAAAGGGCTACAACTTTCATTTATGAATCATCTACAAGTTCCTTGTATATTAAAAGATATAAGCTTCCGAAGTCATACCATCGAATCTACGAAATCACCTTTCTGCGGCCACGAGAAGAATTCTGCGGACCGCACAATTTCAACTGCGGTCCGCACATCTTCAAGTGTGGTCCGCACAATTCTTACTGCTACAACACTTTGGGAGTTTGCGGCCGCACTTCTGCACTCTAAAATGTGCCCTCCGCACTTCAACTCTTCCATAACATCGTCAGAGTGCCGAAATGCCCGGACTCGCTCAAAACTCACTTCGGAACTCATTCGAGCCACTCGGGACCCCGTCCGAATGTACCAACAAGTCCTATAACACGATATGAACTTAGTCGGGCCCTCAAATCACATCAAACGACATCAAAAATATGAATTGCACTCCAATTCAAGCCTATTAAAACTAAGGAAATTCCAACTTCTACGATCGATGCCGAAACCTATCAAATCAACTCCGATTGACCTCAAATTTTGTACACAAGTCATAAATGATGTAATGGGGCTGTTTCAATTTTCGGAATCGAAATCCAACCTCGTTATAAAAAATAAAACCTTCGGTCGAACTTTTCAAAAATCTTTTATTTTTCAACTTTCGCCAAAATGCGTCGAATTATCCTACGGACTTTCAAATTTAAATCCGAACATACGCCTAAGTCCGAAATCACCATACAAAACTATTGACATCAACGAAATTCCATTCCGGAGTCGTTTTCTCAAAAGTCAACTCTCCGGTCAACTCTTTCCATTTAAGCTTCAAAATGAGAATTGTTCTTTCAAATTAAATTCCGAATCTACCGAAAATCAAACTCAACTACACACTCGGGTCATAATATATATTACGAAGCTGCTCGAGACCTTAAGTCAGTGAACGGAGCGTTAATTTTTAAAACGACAAGTCGGATCGTTACAACAATATTTGCTGAGGGTCTCTATCTTTTAATATAGCGTAGATGTTGATGTCCATTACCCTTTATTCATATACACTTTCTGTAAAATTTTATATAAAAAAAATGTAAGGATGGTTTGTTTCTTACATCAAATTAAAACGAATTTGGCACTTTCTAAGAAATTAGATTGTATTTAAAGTAAACATCTGCAAAATTCAAAACGTAAGTAAAAAAGGGTTA